CAGATCTCTGTGGCATAAGATAGTTGTGATTTCACAAGTAACAGGTATAAAGTTCTTCGAGCATCGCAATTCGTTAACATGGGACAAGTTTTCCGTAATAAACCCAGCGTTGAATTTGCCTTCGTAACAAGTTTTGTAATGTGCCTATTCCAGGAGAGATTACTGGTAACGGTGATCCCTAGATCAACTTCGCTATCTACGCGTATCAATTCTGCGGACCAAAGATGGTAATTTAACACAATCGGTTGTTTACGTCGGGATATTGTCAGGGCTTTGCACTTAGACGTGTTGAAGTTAATGTTGGATTCCTTACTCCAATCGTCAACGTATGACAAAGCTTCTTGTAGATTATCGCAATCCTGGCGAGATGTTATTGCCGTATACAGCTTTGTGTCGTCAGCATATAGCCCTGTTGAAGTTGTTGGAGGTATTACATCAGGGAGATTATTGATGAATAGAAGGAAAAGCATGGGGCCTAAGATACTCCCCTGTGGGACACCTGAGGTGACTGGAGACCATTCTGAAGCAACACCTTCGACAACAACACGCTGAGTACGTCCACGTAAATAGTCAGTGAACCAATTGTAAAGGTTGCCTGATATACGATAAGCCTTCAGTTTCTTCAATAGGATACCATGATCAACGGAATCGAAGGCCTTAGCAAAATCTAGATAAATCTGGATATTTCTGTCTAGTAATTGTCCAATATGATGTAGAGTGGACAGAAGTTGTGTCACGCATGATCGTCCATGGCGAAAACCGTGCTGTGCTTTATTGATCATTTCCCGAACATGATCGTAAAATCGATTGCAAACGTATCGCTCCAAGACTTTGCTAATAATGCATAACAGTGATATGGGTCGGTAGTTGGTACCAGGTTCTTTCTTATCTTTCTTATGTACTGGTGTTACATTAGCGGATTCAGAAGGTACAGTTCCAGAATGAAGAGAATGATTGAAAAGTGAGCAAAGGCTTGGAGCAATGACAGAACTACATTCCTTTAGAACCCGACCGGGAATGCCATCAGGACCAGTGGCTTTAGATGGACCCAAGACTGATAGATGCTGCACAACATCTTCTTCTGAGATGGTTATATCTGACAATTGGGTAGAGGTCAGCGGCAAAGAGGTGGATACTTCAGGGTTCACGGTAGTTTTAGTTGGACGAAACACAGAATATGTATTGAAAAGTTCTGCTTTTTCTCTTGGAGACTTCGCTATATGGTTATTAAAAGTTATAACAGGATTTAGAGCGGAACGGAAATTAAGTATTGCTTTATGATATTTCCAGAATATTTTGGGTTTTTCCTTGAACGATGCTTCGATCTTCGCAAGATATATTTTATGTTTAGCTCTAATTGCATACTTGATCTGCTGACACAAAGTACGCAACTTGAGTTTTCGTTCCGCTGTTTTGTTCTTTCTATAGTTCCGTAAAGCAGTATATTTCTTACGTATCAGATGACGAACTTCGCCATCAATCCAGGGAGGAGAGTTGGTGTCCTTCACAATCTTAGTTGGAATAAAACTGGTGACGATGGATAAAAAATTGTCCTTCCACAGCTCCCAACATTTGTCGATATCGTCCGTGAGAGGTATGTCTAAACATGCTTCAGTCAGAGCTCTACGTAGTGCAGGAAAGTCAACTTGTCTGTAGTCATAAACCACACGTCGCACAGGTTTTGCTCTTGTGAACTTCGTACATATGCTGAATTCGATGATGTGATGATCGGTTGGGAAGTTGTGTTCGTTAGAGGGAGAGGTTAGTACATCTGATATCGTCTCAGCCCGATTACAAAACAACAGATCAAGCTTATTTCCAGCACGGTGGGTTGGACCCTCTATAAATTGATGCAGAAAATTATCTCTTATAAGTTCACAAAGGACGTCCCCATTCACACATCCACCAGAATTATTTGGAGTTGAACTATTATCTGACCATGAGGTAAAAGGAATATTAACAACTAACACGATGCAACTAGATTCCGGATTACTAAGCAGTGAATCGTTTAAAAGATTAAGACCGTCAGAACAAGTACCAGGAGGATGATAGTATACGTAAAGAATGACCAGTTTATTGTTCGCTTTATTGAGTTGTACAACCAATAATTCAATACCATTTCTTTCGAGGTCACAACGCCGAGTAGCTTGTAAGCCTTCTTTTACTGCAATCAACACACCGCCGCCGATCTTACCCATTCTATCTTGTCGAGAGATATTGAAGCCCGGAAGAAGTTCTGAGTCAAGGATAGTATTGTTTAACCACGTCTCGCAGATACAGACCACTTCGTAATGATCCCCATAAACCAATTCTTGAAGTAAAGTTATTTTGCAAACTTTGTTGGAAGAGTTGTTGTCAATAGAGATGAAAGACTTTATACTTCGAGCATTTAAATACAGGACTTTTAGATTGTTATTGTCAGTTCTACTAGGTGGAACAGGACCAGGGTTGGTGGCGATATCCATGTAAATGGTTATATCTATATCGGGATCAAAATCAGGAGGTGAGGAACATAGATAACCGTGTTTGTTCCAAGTGGACTGATGACAGTGAAGAGGAGCAATAACACGTTTGTTGAACTTGCGGAATCGATTAACCAAAACAGGCAGCAAAGTGAAACGACTGATATCGATCGATCGTGCATTGATTACATCACAAAACCCAGAATCTGTATTCACGCAGTTATGGCAGCACAGATCAGGTCTAGAGGATATCCAAATGACGGCCAAAGTCACCAGCCAGAAAGCGATCTTGTTCGAAGGACATCCAGTAGATTTACGATACTTTAGATTCATTTTACAGGTAGAATGAAAAGATGCACGCGCAAAATGTTTGAAAAATCCGCGAAAACTTTAGTTGCGCGAATTTCGTGAGCAAGAACCGTCGAGGATGCAAATTACGTATGTAAAAATTTATTTAAAGACGCTAGCCTTGTCAACAAATAGAGTTGATTTCCACAAGGGGCGTCGACATTTGAAAATTTACAAAAACTATTTACAAAAAGGACAAATATAAGTACAAATACATGCAATATATATAGTAATTAATTAGAATGGTTTAAAAAGAAGTTGGTGGTTTGGTGTGATTTGGCCATATAAATATGTCTGTAATAATCCATTTAAATTAATATTAGGTTAGTTACTTTGCCTTACAATATTTTTAAAAGAACATATTGATAGGGCTTCCTTAGCTTCACCAGGAAGATCATTCCATAGTTTAGCACCACTATATCGAAAACTCTTTTTCAGAAAGTCGCGTCTTGGCTTAGGAACGGCCAGATCATTCTGAGCATTTCTGAGATCGTAAGTCGTTTGCGAAATATTCCTTTTTATCAAAAACTCTTTCAAGTTCGGCGAACTATGGTCGTTTAGAATTTTATAGACAAGAGTTGCCTTAGTTAATTTTCTTCTAGATTCTAAATTGTCCCATTCAAGAGATTGAAGAACGTCAGCAGACCTGATCTCATAACCAGCACCAGCTATTATTCTAGCTGCTCGATTTTGAAACTTCTGCAATTTGTCTTTTAATGTTTTGTTACAAGTGTCCCAAAGGGGAGAACAATAATCGAAGTAGGGTTGTATCAAAGCGCTATAGATTGATTGCAGCATGTTTACAGGAACGAATGGCTTTATGCGCCTTAACGTTCCAATACCTGCTGCAACCTTTCTGCAAATTACGTCAATATGCTCATCCCAACTCAACGTTTCATCAAGGGTGGCGCCCAAACAAGGTATTGAGGTTACCCTAGGAATTGGTTGACCATTTAACATTACAGGAATGTCATTATTTATCTTATGGAGAGCACGTCAGCATGCACACAATAATACGAATGCGCGTGCTTGCGCAATGTCAACGATCTCCCTTGACTTTTCAATTAAACCAATATATGAAAACCAAGATTAAATCTGACACAATTACGAACAAGCCAAACAATGTATCCGTAAAAAAACTTACGGATTTTGAAGGAGCACACCTTTATCCACGATTATAAATCAGAATTGCACTTCTAGTTCGACGTTTTCGTAATTTAATTTGCAATTTTTGCGGAGCACTTTTTTGTGCGCGCGCGCGCCAAGCGCGATCACGTATTAACTATTATATCGATTTCTTTTATTTTTGGTCATGAATTATTAATGAGTGTTTGAGAAATAGCATACATACACAGTGTTATGCTGGTTGCAGAAGTTACTATAGTCTCGATACTGAACTACATAAAAATGGTCTGATTCAGACAAAATATATCTATGACTATGACAGTAATTCAGTCTCAAACTCATATAAGGTCTGCTCTGGAACTAAATAGCTTTAACTTGCAACTAAAATTGGTCGAGTTTCTCTTAACTTGCCCTGAATGTCTTTAATAATGCCTTTAATTTAATAATGCCTTTAATTGCATTACCTCGCGACGAGATAATTGGCCTAATAGAGATCTATTAGGCCAGGATTGGCCTAATAGAGATCACCATGCAGTTACCTCTGTATATGGTTTGTATTGTGAACCAATATATAAAATTGTTTCTGTTTGTGAAACACTACGATTACTTAACAAGTAGATTAAGAAATATGTAATATCAAAATAAGCATATGCAGTCATTGCATTTCAATGTTATATATTGGGTGTATATATACAATCTTGAACCTGAAGTCTGAACTTAATTTTTCAACAATACCGAACATGTACTTTTTCTTGGATAAATATGTGCTTAAAAATATTGCTCCTTCGGGCGCGAGGTGTCGTGTCAATTTTGGAATTGAACGGTAATAAACATCATAGAATTTGACAATGAAACGCAATTTTTCGCTTTTTCAAAAGTTCAAGCGTATCAGTTCAAAATGCCAACGAAAATGAAATTCTTCAAATACGTTCCTGGTTTTACATTTTCAACATATCGTTTTTCCTATGTTAGACGCAAAGTTTTACTTTTCATGGCCCGTTCAAACCAATGACATTGGAAGAAACTTTTGAATAATGTTGCATGGGAAACAATGTTGAACTGATTTTTTAAAAGGACCTTCAAGGCAGAATTTTGGAAAAACATGCATACGTCACAAGAGATAAAATACTATCATCTACACAACACGTCAAGTATCTGTTTGAAGAACATTACCTGTGAAATCTCGAGCTAAATCTAATCTATTGATTTCACACAGAGCTTTGCCAAGTTCCTCGCGCCAGGGCTGCGCGGCTGGAGGACGAGATGTCCACCAATGCTTGAGCATCACATATGCTTGCCATACCACACTAGCCTGATCATTCAAGTAAATCTCCTTTATTTTGCTATCGCTAATACCAAGAAATATTGCCAGTTTTTTCCAGTCTCCAGGGATATTTTCAGCCAATTTCAACAAATGATTATTCATATACGTATCTATAAAAAATGTCAGGACCTGTTAAAATATGTCAGAAAAAAGGTGCTTACCTGGAATAAATTCCTAAGAACCTCCCTTATAAGGCCACTGAAGGGACCGAGCAATATACATATCAGAGTGGTGTTCGTTTACTAAGGTCATCACCGTGTTTTGAACCAAAAATATCCATACAAGCAAAAAATGTTTCAAATAAAATGCATGCAGCCAGAAGGTGCAGGCAGAGAAAATATATCACAACACAAAACCAAGCGAACCGTAAAAAAATCTATGGTGACAGAAACCTCCCCATATCCCTCCCCCACCTACCACTTCACTTTCAGTAATACTCCGTCCCTAAAACGAAGGAAGTTGTACATAGCATACACAGGATGTTTGGGCATCTCTCGATTGAACTACTATATGTTGAAGGATTTTGTAGATGGAAATTTCGAACGTAAATTTTGTACATTTATTTAGACCTATAACAAGGAGCAGTCGCGAAAAATGCAACTATATATAGGCCCTCTGGCAGGAGTCAAACCTGCGGCCCTGCGATTGTGGCACAGCGCTCCAACCAACTGAACTACAGAGTCCACCTCTAACCGCAAGTTATTATTCTGGCCATGAGCCCAGAGGGCATATAGTTGCATCATTTTTGCAAATGTTCCTGGTTTGGTCTAAATGTATAAAATTTACGCCCGAAATTTCCACCTAAAAAAAAATCCTTCAACAAATAATATACACAGACTATCGTTAAACTAGAGAAACCGAATTGGCACATTCTAAGCCGAAAAAATAATTCGGGGAAGATGATATGATTATAATTATAATGGAGCTGCACATTAGAGTAACTAGTATAACCCTATGACACAACTAGGGATCCAAGGATAGTGTGAAGTTTCGAATTGAAAAAGACACTGCAACAATTATATAGGGTTGCCGACAACCTAGAAAGGCCGATGGCTTACACTACGAAATAAACAGTTACCAAAGGCATTTTCATCTCATTATCTACTTTATAATGCGTTCGGCACATGAGTAGCGCCACGTTTGAAACAAGCCTAACAGATCAGAAACGTGCCTCGTGGAACTGAT